AGCGAATGGTACAGCTGTCGATGGGACTGTCCAGCAAAATATCAATTGGAAGTTAAATTAATTGGTGTTGACGAAGACCAAATGGATAAGTTTAAATTTGAAGATATTCTAGAAGGAGAGAAACAGAATAGATGGCTGCAAGTGAGTGTTGGAGAAACAGAAAAAAATTTGTATTTTACGTAATAAAAATTGAAATATGGCATACATACAATCTTCAATTTATATATTTTTGTATGCTTTATCGCAGGTTTCACACGTATTTGAAAACTATGGAACTGGTCTCAGAGTTATCTCCTTTGAGCACAGTGGGAGAGACAGATTGTATTGGGCAGGACATTATGGTAGTAAAATGGCTGGAGCATGTGTTTCTGTGAAAATTCCTGAGAATATTTGCACTTGCACTTGTAAATAAATATAATTACAACAGGTATTACCAAAGACAGAGAGGTCAAACTAGACAAGTTAGTTTATGAGGGATTTTCCCTCTGCTTTTTTAATAAAAAGTTTTATGTGATAAAAAAATCATTGATTTCAATGAAATAAAAAATGAGTACCTACGAATATATATATATATAAAATGTTAAATATGTAAAATTTTGTATAAAATATTAACTGTAATTACTTAATATGTTTTTATTATCACAGTTGCAAATTAAAAATAATTCATATACAGTGTTGCATATATATAATAAAAATTTATTCAAAATATGCGTATTTTCTGTATACATACATAGTGTAAGTGTTATGAGTGTAATCGAAAAGCTATTTCGATTAGATTCTGAGGTGCAGAGTCTTGATGGCATACGTACAATTCCTTTGGATGAGGGCTCGTATATAGGCGTCCAATTACCCAAAAAGCTGTATTTTCCCATTCAAATAATACACCGTGTTCTTTAACAGCGATTAAACTTTTGTTGATTACCGTTTTATCTATATCTTGATTCAACATCTTAAATCTTACTGTATTACGTAACAGTTTATGAATAACATGTACACACTTATTAAAGTTCACAAGAATCTTGTTATCCTTTGATGTATTTTGAATAGGTATTGATGTTAATAGAATTCCTTCCACCATGTCCAATTGAACATAATGATACAAATAATTTTTATCACCTGCAGTTAATTTTTGAGGTATTAAATATTCTGCTTGGTTTAACAAGTTCTCTCGTATATTGGATATATCCATTGTAAGCACGTTACTATCACTCTATAAGAAAGTATTGATAAATGTATTAGTATTTGAAACAAGCACGCATATGTATTTTTTAAAAAAGAGAAAGAGAGAGAGAGAAAGAATGTTACCTTATATATATCGATATCTGAATCACTGTCATCCGAATATCTCGATGCCGAATTGATCTTCTCTCTGATTGCTCGTCTTCCAAGTATAGGCATTGCCTCATCGCTCATTTCGCTAACACCACCTGTTCCTTGGCTGAGTGAATCTTCGGACGTTTGTAAGGAATACACTAAAACATGTGAAAGGGTACATATATACTCGTAAAATAATACACATATAAGAAATGAAACAATTTATATAGTACATATTATCTTATGTATATTGTAAAAGTGACAAAAAGAATTAAGATATAGCATAAGAAATATTTGAATTGATTTCATTATTGATATACAATACTTACATACATTGAAACTTACCAGAACCCAAGATCACAGGATTTTCTTCAGGATTTCGTTTTTTCAAGATAGAAGGCAATTCTTGCGGTTTCTTACTAATAGCAGGATTGACATTTTGCTTAGACGATACAGTTTGCGCGTCGGACGTTGATTTTATCAAACCAAATAGGTTTTCCGTTATACTGGATGACGCTTTCGTTGTTGTATGTTCCTCATATGGTATTACTTCAGGTCTGGTGTTGGATGTAATCCATTTCGACGCCAAGACTGTGACTCCTATTTTTTGTACATGCTTCAATGTCTCTTGAGCCTCTTCCACGTAAAATACATCTGGGCCAATCGCGTCACTGTATCTAATAGAATGATATAACTTGAATAAAAAGCAATATTTAGACTATTCATGTAAAATAATACACACTCACTTTGCAGTGCATCCGCCAGATTCTAACAGCACCGCTAATAAATCATGCCCATACCCGACAACCAATAAAAACCATTTTCCATTTGATATTAATAACTGGCTGCTGTCGTTGCTATCGATATTGCCACGATTGCAAGACGAGGGATAAATTTGTTTCCACAGAACTAGGCATTTTACTTGTTCTTGGCTCACCAGATTTAATAAACCGTTATGTCTCAAGAACGAATGTACGTCGATCAGATCTTCGTGAGGCAAATGAGATCCTAGAAGATGGCTCTTGTGATAAATACAGCTCCCTAATATAGTATATAATCTTTTACAATCCATAGGATCTTCGTTCTGTTAAATATGCATCTATTAGATACAATCAATGTAGATTTATACCTTATAACGTAAGCATATTTATTAATTATTTAAAATATAATTATAATGAGTATCGATATACCCAGTCTCTGTAATCCATAGCTTCCATCTCGCTTAACGCAGCGTCTATTTGAATTTGCGCATCTCTCGGTAACTGTATAAAGCTTGCGACTGAAAAAGCGCTTCTAAATTTATAATTCTCCACACTTTCAGTACTATTTTGTGGCTTTTTTTTAATATCAGCTTCTTTGTAGGAATCTTTAATATTTGTTAATCTGTGCATAATTAGAGTGAAAAAATGATCCAAAAAAGACTGGTTCTCCACAGAAGTAAAGCACTTTGTTAGCGATTGATAGGTAAATTCCAATGTTCTGACAATGTTTTCTGTAATCTTTATAATCTCCTGAGAGGTACAGCTACAAAGAAGTAATTGATAAAATTCATGTTAAAATAATTGCTGTATTCTTTCCAATACTGTACTCTGAAGTAAAATTCACCATTTGCCAGGTAAAGCTATCAAAAGTAATTCATTTTCACGGGATGTATACGCAATATGCGTTTCTTCTTCGCCTATATAGACAGTTGTACTAAAAATATATACATTATGCGACGTCCAGAAAATCGCAGTACCCGTAGTACTTCAGGAAGTGATTCAGTATCCGAAAAGAAGGAAAAAAAATATATAAATCCCTTCCCAAGTACTGCGGGCGATTTTCTGGACACTATATGTATATAATATTATACATATATATTTTTTAAATATAATAATTGTATGTATCTGGAGATACAGTAGCGTTTCGGCGTTAAGAAAAGCAAAGCGTCATATAATATACCTGAGTGGTTCTGTGCCCACTATACTGGGTAATAAATGATTAAGAGTTATAAAAGCTCCTCTTGCTATACATAGAGAAGAATGGACATTTTTAGTTTCGGAGCGCGGGAACGTATACAATACGCCTTGCAATTCTTGTCCCATTTCCGAAAGATCCGCAGTTTTTAAATATGTTACGCCCAACGGATAATTCAACAGAGATTCCATGAAGAAATTACTGGATTCTTTATTCACCAAATACTGGGCCAATATCGATTGCTAAAAATGTATGATATGATAAAATCTTATCTCATACATATCACGTACTCTTACTATCGTATTTATAACGAAAACTAATTACTTTTGGTTCATTTACTTTTGGTAACTTTGCAGTAACATCAACACCAGCTACTCTTTGCAGTTCTAATGTTACCTGTGAGTAGAGAATTTTTTAATTTTTTCTTAAAAAAATTAAAATAGATTCGAATTATTACAATTACACATAGCAAATTCCTGAAAAAAATCAACCTCTCTTATTAATCACGATTACTTATCAATTATTAACATATATTAAATCTCACATTTGATGGCGTAGTGATTTCAGATAATATCCGATCTAAATTCTGAAAAGTAACATTGTTCGAATTGATGCTCCGTAACCAGTCCCCGATTTTTATATTTCTCTTTTTCATAGCTTCACCATCGGGTATAAATCCGGCCACCATAACTCTCACTTTGTCCGAGAATGCACTTGGAGTAATACCGAAGTACGCTTCGCATAAAGTTGCCCTTCTTCCTAGTTTATGTCTTCTCTCAGGATCGACCCATAATGTGACTTGTCGAATTTCTCCTGCCTAATCATTATAGACAATTACATACATCAACAGATATAAGAAGCGTATTTTATGTGACATTTTATTATTTGTCATGTTAAATTTATTAAATTACAGTTAAATTTCGCTTTTAATTCACGTGTTTTAAAATCATTTACTTTTAAATGTTTCCAAAATAGATATATTATAGTTTATCGCTATTATAGTGCACCGAATGCTTCAGTTAGTACCTGGAAATCTTGAAATTTCACCTCCTTGCTCCCATCTCCTTTTTCTTCAGCAGTTGCATTATTTGTCGCAGCGCTATTGTTAATCCTTTTATTTCTCGTGCTCCATCGCTTGCTTTCCTTGCGTCTAATAAGACGAAACAGTTTGCCAGCTCTCGTACTACGGCGACGTGTTAATTCGGGCTGAGGGCTTTCGATGTCATTCTCCAAAATAGTAGGATTCTCGAGTAGACTTTCCTCTGCGGATTCTACATAGAATACTTCTCCGGTGGGTCCGATCTCCGATTCCCATTCAACCACAGAGCTGCGTTTAAGTATTATTAAATCGTGGAGAAATCATTCACATCTATTCACAAATACACCTGATTATTGAATTTACCTGCCGGTGTCTGAGTAATATGATCCTGTACTGGAACCACTGTCACTTGCCCACCAATCGTGATCATCCTCATTGTAGATATCCGTAGAGTACGGCTGATCGGACTGCTCGCATTTGGATTTTAATAAAGCATTTTTGTTCTCTGCCTCACTCATATTTCGTTGAAAATTATTGTGTCAAATAGCTTGATTTTATAACATCTAATTCTGCAATTAAGACATGAACTAATATATATAATATTATAATATTAATAAGTAGGTATACCATATCTTTCTGCATTAATATCCTATGATATCCTATTGATAAATAATATAATATGTCTAACAATTATTATTTCACTTGCATTTTAGTTATTGTATATAGGTAGACTATATGTATAGTTTAGGCAAGTGGATAGCCTGACAGCCCTGATAGTCCTATTACCCGATACTACCTGAATGCACCTGTGTAGCGTACCTGAACACAAGGCTTGCCTGCTTGCTTGCGCGGAGGGAAAAGAAAAGGAGTGGGGATGTGATGAGCACCTTTTTATTATAATATGCGTGAAAGGTAGTAAGATTCCTTTACATACGTAATGCTGAAAGTGAAGAATCAGATGATTTTTAAATATATATATTTCTAAATTTATGAAAAATTCCAAATAACGTAATAAAAATAAGAAAAACTTTTCTTGAAAAATTGAAAATTATAATAAAATTTAACAAGATAGTCATAAAAAGCTTATTACGAAATAAAAGTTACTCAACTTACTATAAAAAAATTTATTTTTACTTCTTACAGTTGTATAATTACCCTAAAAATGATTGTTGCAAGTAGAATCTGAATATAATTTTCATATAATAAAAGTTAGAGATGTAATACGCTAACGCAAGCTTGTTTGTACTTCAATTATTTAACAATAATATGTTCTTATATCTACTTTCTTCACCGATCGTACATGTATCCGAAATGCAATCTTGGGTCTATCAACATTAAGTATTTACTTTTGTATTTTTTTTCTCTGTACAAAATGGATCAATCAATTTATTCGATACGTCAATATTTTTATGTTCGATAATATTCGACCGTGTCATATATCTATATTAATTCTATTTATATTATATACCTGTATATACCGATCGCAAACAATCAGTTAGAAAAATAAATACTGGAATGATCGCTAAGCAACATACATTGCATGTCGATTTTATCGAATCGATTGTTTGAGCCTAGACGCAACTGATTTTATATCGGTAGATTCTTTTTTTTTCTGTGGATCCACTTGAAAGCACTTCCACAATCTTAACGTTTCGTCGGCACCAGCGCTAAGCACTGTAGTTCCATCCGGAGACATGGCTAAATGTAAAACGCGACTGGTGTGTCCGGTAAGTTCCGCGAGCTTCGTCATCATCGGATATTTCCAAATTGTTAGCTGATTTTGCGCATATCCGTGTCCAGAAACAATCTCTTTGTAGTTCGTAGACCATAGCAAAGCGCAGACCTGAGACTTTGTGTCTATTGTGTTCAAACAGGCACCTGTGATAAACAAAAAAATCGAATCGTGTGTTATATATAATTTTTATTTTATTTTTATTACTCGTATTTTTTTTCTATAAATTTAATATGCTTTAAATAATTATAATTTACAAATTGCCTCTCCTGTAACTTGCCTGAGTTGCAATTCCAAAACCTAATGGTCCGATCAGCGGTACCACCGCCGCTCGCGAGTACATTGTTTTGCCAAGGACACCAAGCGAGCGCTTTTACGGCAGCTTGATGCTGATTGAACGAATAAACAGGTTGCGTCTGAGAATGCCTTTGCCCGGCGATTGACGACCAGATTTGCAGCATATTGTCATTGCCACCACTCGCCAGATATTGCCCATCAGGCGACCATTTCAAGCCACACACTTCTTGAGCGTGTGCGTTTATAGTTGAGATCAAATGATCTCGGTCTCTGACATCATGATGCACTATTTTACCAGACCTTTGAAACAATAATGTAATTTTAGTCTTACTTCCAAAACTCGAATTTTACTTTTAGTTTCAATCTCAGTTACATCTCGGTTTTTTCACTTTAATGTTATGTAATTTTCCAAAATCTTTTAATAAATGTACTTAATTTCAAATAACTATTATATTTATCAATCTAATCGATAGCTTTACGAAATCGTTCTCTATAAGGACCAATTCTTTAAAACTTATGGGCAACAATCACAAAAATTAACAATCCAATGCATTAACAATCGGTGCATACCTGCAGCCGCTTGATAGTACATGAGAATTCCAAGAAAGAGAACCAACTCTGGCTGTATGTCCGTTCATAACGCGCATTCTTTTCATTTGACTGCAATCCCACAATTCTGTATTTCCTACTGTGGTACCCACTGCTAAACATGGACCTTCTTGAATCCATGCAACGGAACATACGTAATCATTCGCTTCCAACTCAAATAACTGTTCTATAGTACCAGTTCCAGCGTTCCATAAATAAACGTTAGCACCTAACGCTACAGCTAAGATATTATTGTTTGACCAATCCACCAAGTTTAAATCTGTAAAAATTATATTTTTTTTCATTCAAGTGTTCTTTCATGCCTTTAGTAAATAAAAAACGCGAAGGTAGGTCGCTTACAATAATCATCGATAATTTCAGGTGCATCCAGTATTCTGTCAGGGGCTTGCGGTATGTATCTCGTGGAAGCTCTGACACTAGCTGGCGTTTTAGTTTGACTGTACAGGACTTTGAGAGGATTCTGATATCCTTCTGGTGGCGCTGGTGCTTTAATTTGATAAGATAAAACTCGCGCATTATTTATATCACCACCATGAAGATTTTCTCCTATGAGACGCTGCATCTCTCGTTTCTTAGGACTCATTTTATCAGCTTTGTCTTTATCTTGTTCAGCATTTTGTTGTTGAAGAATCTAAAGTAGAAAAAATAGCGCATAAATATGCTAAGGAAATTTCAAATATCCTATAAAGAATTTTTCATCAATGAATACATTCAGTACACAGTGAACAAAAACCATCATATATAAATTGGCATAAAGATATTTCTTTAGTATTAATATAGAAACAATTATGGAATTTTTGATACACTTTATTGTACGGTTATATAAAATATATATTTTATAATTTAAGATATTTGTAATTTACTTTTACTCGAATTAAATTAATACACAACGACTTTAATGTTCACCAATGCACACTAGTGCATCCAACTGAATTTGCTGTTAGTCACAAATATTTGTTACCTTGAAATGGCTTAATTCGAAATTAGTCGTAGCTCTCGATGGAATGAATCTATCACCACCACTGGGTGTCTTGGCTGGAGTAGTGGCTCGACCTATAAAATGCAATCAAAATTTTATTTCTTTCATTAACAATGTATAAATACTAGGAATTTTACTTGGAGACTTCTTGATACATTTGGAGGGAGTTTTCTTGGTCTTGCAATCATTTTTCTTCGTCGGGGTCTTTCCTGATACACTGCTTGTGAAAGAAGTAATTTTCTTTGACGAGTTTAAACTGTGATTAATGCTGCAACATGAGGTACATGTTTAAGGCAATTTGATTTGCATCAAAGCCAATGTATTTGCATGCACATCTAACAAATTCACTCAACGTTCAAAATTCATGTAAATTCATGTAACTATAATGTAAATTGATGGTATAAGAATTTAATAATAAAATACTAATAATCAGATTTCTCGATAAAATTTAAGGCAGTTACCTTAAATTCGATGCTTCCATGCATTTCTTTTGCCAACGTGGAATTGCGCCCTTGATAGCGTCATCCATGCGAGTTAAATTGTCGAGCTCCTTCATGAACCTCAGGTGCGACATAACGAACAAACGCGACCTCGAGTGTCCTCGAGTGAACGATCGACCGCTAGAAAAGTTTTGAAACAAGTTGAGGACGAAACCCGATATATGTATACACGCGTCGACGAGATGGGAGATGATCAATGCCGAATTATTGTTGAAAAGATAAGAAACGTGTCGAAAAACAACCAGTTGGAAAATTGTAACACCACTTGATCAATTCAATTTCTACCAATTTCTACGTCTAGGATGACGCATCGGTCAGTGTAGCGTGTACGTACATATGTACGTTGTACATACCAATGTCGCGTGAATCCTGATATTCCTGATTCCTGTCGCTTGCGTGAGGCGAGAACGTGCTTTAAATGGATGGATATCACGCGATATCAAGAAGAGATTTTAAAAGAACGTTGGATTTTAAACGCCACCGGTCATTTCCTGTTTTGTTTGCGCAGATGTCGCCACACGCTTCCAGTAGCTAGGTCCCTACACTTATGCAGCGAATCTTCGGGCCTACGCACAATAGAACAAATATTAGGAACAGGAATAGATATTATTTATTTCAGCCTATCAGATTCACCGGTTACATCGGAATACACGAATACATGGTTTATAATAGGCCGTAACCGTAATCTGGGGTCATATATTCTTGAACAAATATCGCATACGAAAGTAGCAATTTCGTATACAATCGACCAATCACAATCGAGAAATCATTTTCGTCATTTTCGTCATTTTCGTGCAAAAATGATTTATATGTACTCAAGAATAGGGCCACAGTTTGTCACAAAGCGCCTGTTGATGTCCTCTCGTTGATATCCTATTAAGTCTTCACATCTAGAAGAATAAACCAATAGCAGCGAGCGTTCACTCAATTGTTGAATCCGCCGAACGCGCCTTCGAGACAGAGGTCTCGACTATAAATCCTGGCGCTTGGCGGTGCTGGCAAACCTTAAATGAGGTGAGAGTTTGCTCTTCTAGTAGTTCTAGTTTCTCCGCGCTCCGCAACCGGCTGACCGATGATGGTCGATCTCGGCCGAGCGGGGCCGAGCCGTGCATTCACAGTAGATTGCGATACATTGGAGTACGCTATGGCGGCCGTGACGAGATATTTGCCGTCTGCGTGCGAGTCGCGAGAGTGAATGATCTTGTTGTGTACGGGGCTCGTGAGCGCGGGTCGCGAGTCACGAGTAGCGAGCAGCGAGTCGCGAGTAGCGATCCGCGATTCGGCAATTCGGCAATTCGGCAATTCGGCTGGGAAGACAGCGCGCGCGCGCTCGTGCACATATCCGCCGTGGCCGATCCGTGAGTTTCTCTCGTGAGCCGGGCTAGGGCGACCTGGGGTGACCTGGGACGGCCGGAGGCGCCGTGCGAGGCAAACGATACTAACACCATACGCGCATCACGGCGACTGACGACTGACGAGAGTGACGAGAGTGACGAGTGACCGAGTGACGACGACGACGACGACGACGACAAGACAAGCCGTCGGAGCGGCCCCGATGCGGGTCGCGCGCGCTCCTCTCAGGGCAAATGATGACTTCGATGCTGCCCAGCTTTAACCCGCCTATCGTCAAGCGGCTGCTGGGCTGGAAGAAGGCCGAGAGCGAGGACAAATGGAGCGAGAAGGCCGTTAAGAGCCTGGTGAAGAAGCTCAAGAAGTCCGCGGGCCTCGACGAGCTCGAGAAGGCCATCACGACGCAGAGCTGCAACACCAAGTGCATTACTATACCAAGGTACGCACACACACACACACACACTTGTATATATTTTTGCCGCTTAATTGCTCCTTGTTCGCCGATATCGTGATACTCGTGATACTCGTGATAGTTGTGTTTGATATGATGCATAGAAAGAGAGACAGAGAGAGAGAGAGAGAGAGAGAGAGGGAGAGAGAGAATTACACTGAAACGATGCAGACAGAGAAAGAAAGAGAAAGATGGAGAGGAGAAATCGCGCGAGCGCTCCCTCATATGTGGCGCGTCGCGTCTGCACACACGCACGCACACACGCGCGCACACACACACG